TGCCGTCTGGCGGCTCCCCGGAGGAGAGCTTCTCTGTGACTGCTCCGACCCTTTGGAACGAGCTACCCCCAGAAATCCAGACCTTGCCCACTCTCATGGCCTTCAGAAAAGCTGTGAAAACCTGGCTATTCTGGCAGGTCTGGGGCTGTTGACCTCATTGTTGAGGTCCAGCCCCGATCGTAACGAATGTATGTGTGTTATTTTTAACATGTTTTTATTGTCATTTTTTATTATTCTTCTTTCTTCGATGTAAGCCGCCCGGAGTCCTCTGGGATTGGGCGGCCTAGAAATCGATTTAATAAAAAAATAAATAATAAATATGCATGCACGCATGCGCAGACATGTGAATGTGTGCGTGTATGGATATGTGCATGCGCATACGTAGCAGACCCGGATATGTGCACGCATATGTAGCAGCTGGACAGCATCCCAACACTGGCAGCACGGCGAGAAATACGTTCTTTTTCTTTCGTGAGCTTGTTTCGTTGTTTGCAGGGAAATAGAAGCTCATGAGAGAAACGCCATTGAGATCTGACCTTGGACGACCGTGCGTGTGCCAACAGAGGGCTGTGTGCCACCTCTGGCACGCATGTCAAAGGTTCACCATCATGGGTATAGGAGGGAGGGAAGATATAACACAAGCAGCATTACAAGATTATCTTTCTAGATAAATAAATAAATAGGCATAGATAAATAAATAAATAAATCTATACCTACTTATAAATTCCCAGATAAATAAAATATAGGTATAGCTTTCCTGTGGAGTTGGTTTCTTGATGTGTCTGCACCCTAGAGCTGATAGTATATTATTTTTTAACTGGGAGACATTGCTAAGGATAAAGAATTAATAGAAAAGTCATGCAGTTATTCATGGGGCAGGAGAAGAAAAAATCCAGGTAGGAGAATCCATTAAGCTTGTCAGAAAATTGAAAGGTAATGAGGCATAAGGCTTTTTTAGCTTTGATAAATTGAAGCCCTCTTTCAGTAGAAAAGTTAGAATAACATAAAGGCTATGGGTCCTATGTTTATTTCCTCTCATCCTGCTCCTAAATGGTTTTTATCCTTTTGGAAATGGAGGAAAACCAAAACTATGTCTGTGAACAAGCTCATAGAAGACCTCTGTTATGCTGTATCTCTTTTATTTGATCACTGGAGAGAGAAATCTAAAAAATCCTGATGTGCCAGGAGATTATATCACACCTTCACTTTTGACATGTTGTTTAAATATCTTGTAATCCTATGACAATCATGTTTCTTTCATGTTTTATCTGTAGAATAATTAAGAATCAAGAGAAGCGTGACACATTTTACGCAGAACATTCTCTTATGTGTACATAAATACAGCTTTGATCATAATCACTGAAGGAAGATAGCTATGAACCAGAGAACAACTACTTATTTGACATTATTAGTAAAAAAAAAAAAATCTTCACAGCATCTAACTACAGGGGCAAACTATCTCCTTCAACCAGTGTGTGTGTGTATATTTATGTGTGTGTGTATATATATATGTATGTATGTATGTATGTATGCATGCATGCATGCATGCATGCATATATAACACAAAATATATACACAAAAATAACATAAATATAACACAAAAATGTGTAACAAAGGCAACAGTAAAAATATTGGGTTTCTGTCGTGATGGACTCTTGTGACGAGCCGATTGATAGATAATGGAAGCTGTTAGCTTCCTCTCATAATTGGGGTTACCAGGGGTTGGTATATATATATATATGATGAAAAGGTACTTTCACAAAACGGCTACCAAAACCAATTGAAACATTCCGATTTTCCAGATGCCAATCAAAGAGCATCCTTAAATGTTCTCGTTTTGTCTTTTTTTCCTGGGTAGATGAGGATTCTTACAAACAGAGCTTGTGGACTATGGCTATGCTACAGGGCCAAGGTGAGAAATAATGTGTAAATAATGAAGCTCAGTTCTGGCCCTTCACAGTACATAGCCTTTCATTTATTCATTAAAAGAGCAAAGAATGTAAAATAAAACCCCAGGAATTCAGGTTGTGCAAGAAGGGAAGAACTAACCAAGGGGTCTGCCTAGGATTCCACATAATCTGTCTCTGCAGAATACCATAATTTATATCATAGGTAGCCAATGTGTGAATGCAGAAGTGTATTTTTGTCAGTTCAAATATTCCCCCCAAAGAGGGTCAACTGCAGATAACCTGTCCATAACAACCAATAAGGGCCTCTCCTGATTCCATCACAAATGTGCAGACATCCTGTTCCAGAGAGATTATGGAAAAGAGACAGGAATAGAAGAGGGAACATTTTATTTTGCCCAAGCAGATAGGATTCAAAGCATGTTTGCGTTATCAATGACAACTCTTTCTGATCATTTCATAAGGAAGTTAGTAAAATAAAATGGTCAGTATTAATTGTGAGCGTTATAACAATGAAAAACACAATAAGCAGTTGACTAGTATGTGCAACTACAGTAATATGACGAAGTGAAATCTGGAAAACCAGCCATTCATTTCGAATGTCTAAACAACCAGGTTGGAACATATAAATTATTCAAAGCAGTGCCTAATATGTATGACCTAACTCTCTAATGATGTTGTGACGGCCGGTAGCATACACTGGTTTTCCCTTTTCAGATTTTAGCCAAAAGAAAATCTTGTAACAATGCAATATGCCGATCGGGATAAATTATTTCATTGCCACACTCTGCTTCCATGTCTCCCTAATGACTTTTCTTTCATATCCAGGAGACAGAATACTGATTAAACTGGAACCTGTTTTATGCTAGGAGAATCCTTAATTGAGAGGCTGATGAACTCCGTGGGCTGAATCAGAAATTCCAACTGCTTTTATTTCTATTCATGAATCTTTAGCCAGATTTGAGGAATAATCTCCTTATCAAATGAAAAGCCACTATCACACAACCAGAGACCAGACCCAATCCACCATTGTGCATATTGGTAATTGCCTTCATATTGGTTGTTTTGAACAGTTAATTCTAAGAAAGAAAGAAAAAAACACCGTTCACTGTGTTCCCTTCTGGCCTCCGCTAGCATCTCTCTCTCCACCCTGCCTTATGCAGCACTTGTAGGAGAAACCAGGAATGTCCCAAGTGTTAATGCCAAAGATGCTCAAAGCTATTACCGCTGATGGGAGCCTCCTGCTCTGCCAGACCTCCGCACTATTGACTGTTCCTTGCATTAGCTAAGTCCCAGCAGCGCACAATGGCTCTTTAAATACAATTAGTGCTATTGCTAATGGAAGGCAGTAGAGTTAAGACCCTTGGCCCAAGGCAGAGGAAGATACAGCTGCTACACAACTGCCTCCAGGGAAATCACTGGCTTAGGTCAAGAGAGGTGGCGGTAGGGGAAGCCACATTTGCTGCTGCAGAAACCCTCGGCTACTTTTTTCTTTCCCCTCCTTGCAGCTCTCCAGATTAAAAGATACCTGCTCATCGGCCTGGCTGTTCCCTTGGATTATATTAAACAAACCCCACCTATAGTCACTTTATTTTTTATTAATTCAGTTAGCCATGATAAAACAGATATGCAAAGAGAACTTTTAAAAAACCAGAAAGGGAAAGATGAAATACCAACTGAACATGACTCTGGAGACCATACAGTGTCACAGCTTCCAGCCTTATGCCATTCAGCTTGCCATCTGAAAGGATACAGTGGGCCTACAGCAACATGGAGGCAGAAAAACAAGGGATCGCTGGCTTTCTAGATTCTTTTTAGGCGGCATCCTTTCTCTCCAAAGGCAGTAATTGGTTCTGACTAATTACTGTGGTATTGGAAGGGGAACAAGCTGAGGAGGCCAGTGAAACAAGAAAGGTATCCCTATGCCTTGCCGGGTCTTCAGCCTATTGGCCTGGATGAAAATGTTCAGTCAGTCTCCCCTCGGCAGTACAGCTACCATGCCATCTGCAGGAGGGCTTAGAGGGAACCAGTGTGATGGCTTGAGTATTCCTGGCTAATCAGAGCCAGACTCTGATGAACTAGGTGGCGTGCTGGCTATCTCCTCCTCATCAGAGTCCTGGAAGAGAACAAGCATGGTTAGGAATATGGAAGACAAATAGGATTAGATACATGTTTTACAGGTTCTAAATTAAACGAATCATATCTGAAAAGGAAAGCTAGCATTTCCTGCCCTCATCCTATTTTAATGCTCTTGCATTGTGGTTTGGCAAATGGTGATAGATGGTGACAACTGGGAAGATGATGTTTGGGCAATCAACTCATCCGGTCTGATGGTGTGCAGGCAGGTGAAGTAGTGATGTATTCTACACATGCTTTCAGCCCATGGGAGTCCAGGCACAAGGCCACTCCACACACCAAATCGCAAGAGTAGCTTTAAGAGCAAAATGTTCAGAAGATGATAAACCCCAAGTAAACAAATATCCACTGCTAAATACAAACCCAATGTATTGTCTAAGATCAACAAAGGAATTGGGATTAATTCTGGGCGTGACAATCTACAACTTTTAGAAGGATGATGATGTAGGTTTTTCTGCAGCAAGCCCAAACATTAAAAAAGAGCCTAGATAAAACTGAACAGTGCCTTTTCCCAATTTTTTTTTAATTTATAGCCAACATCAAGCAATAGCAATAACATTTAGACTTACATACTGCTTCACAGTGCTTTATACATCCCTCTCTAAGCAGTTTACAGAGTCAGTCTATTGCCCTCAACAATCTGGGTCCACATTTTACTGGCCTCGGAAGGATGGAAGGCTGAGTCAACCTTGCTCCAGTGAGAATTGAATTGCTAGCAGTCAACAGAATTAGCCTATAGAATTCCAACCCCTGTGCCCCCCTCCACTGTATTTTAAAACTCACCCCCTTCTTTTCTTCGCCTGAGGAACTTTCATCACTGGATACAAATTCCTTGCTCTTGAAGCTCTCGACTAACTGTTTAGGAGGAGTCTTGCTAGCAGATTTTAAAGGTGTCACTATCTTCTTCTCCGTTCTCCCTTTTCCTGGTTTATCTGGCTTTTTCTTTTTGGCTTTTTCTCTGTACACGTAAAAACACAGACAAGATTCTGCAATAGCAGAGTCCTTTTGGTTTAGGAGAGATGGGGTCGGGGTGGTGGTGGAAACTCTTGTATTGCTGCTCACCTCTTAGAACTGTCCACTTTGCCTCCCTCACTGTATTCCTTCATGGCCTTCTCATAATCCCTCTTGGCCTCTTCTGCTTTGCGGTCCCATTCCTACAAGCCAAACAGCCGGTTTTACACATCTTGTTTAAACTGCATAATCCCCATTCATACATATAGTACATGCTAATGCATATAATATTCCTACTAACTCCTGAGTGTACCCTAGCCAAATGTCATGGAAACAGAAAGTTACATTTCGAAATCCCAATTTCTTTAAATCAATAGTGTTTTTCCCTTAGGCTGATTTGCTAAGGTTTTGAAGGTCAGTTTTAGACTCAGAATCCCGTAAGAGATGTAGCACTCCTGTGGGAACGCCTAATGATCAGGATAGGATTACTCTGCCCTGGAAAGTAAAGATATGCAAAATGTTCCAAGGCAAAAGATTCCAATCTTGGAACAGACTGTAGTCTGATCTTACCAGAAATGGACTATCACGAATTAAACGCTCAAATGTATCTGGGGAGGTAGGCAAAGCGCATTAGGGAGTTGAAGCATTTTGATCTTGAAATGAGTTGTTTACCTCTAGTGAATAGCAGAACAGTGCAAAAGTAGCAGCCCTGCTAAATCCAGCACTGACTCTCGTTGGGGTTCGGGAAGCTATTTCCCCAAATCCCCAGCAAAACCAATGTAGATCATTCATTTATTTGATTTAAAGCATGCCTTATATTCAGGAGTTCAGGAAAGTGGACCCAGTACTTCTCTCTCCAAATTCTCCCCAAATCAATTTTGACATAGTTTGGAATAAGAGGACAACTGGCTTAAAGTCATCCAATGAGCTTCGGGTCAAAATATAGACTGGAAATGGGTCTCCTCAGCCCGTAACCTAAGAGTTTCAGTATATAAACTCCCCAGACTTTGCCTCTCTTACGGGGATTGAGTTTAGTATACTCTGTATGCAAGGCATATCCTCTCCCACTATGTTTAAAGTCCCCATCAATTGTACAATTTCGGAAGTTCCTATCGTGCCTCATAACTTCCTAGTCTTTGGTTCTATTTTCAAAAACTCAAGAATTCAATTTAAGGAATTATGTGTCTTTCATCTTAAGTGGTACCCAAAAGTCCATATAAAATTTAGTATTCCTGTGGGAATGCCTAAAAATAAGAATAGAATTACTGTGCGCTAGAGAGTTAATAATTTGGGATTATTACACACTTTTTCAGAACGCCCCCCCCTTTTGTCATCCCCCCCAAAATGGGATTCCAGTCCGCACCATCTCTTGACTCACCTCTTTCTTCTCTTTTGACATTCCTTTCCACAGTTCCCCAGCTTTCTTAGACACGTCAGTGACACTCATGCCAGGACATTCTGATCTGATCTTGTCACGATTAGCATTGAGCCAGAGCATATACGCAGATAAAGGTCTCTTTGGGGCATTGGGGTCTTTCCCTTTTTTACCCTACGAGGAAGTACAAGAGAAGAGAATCAGCACAAACACAAAGGAAAGAGAAGCCTTCTCTCCAGTCATCTTACAGATATCATAAAAAATGTTTCCCTTCTGAACTGTGTGACTTTTTAGGCCTCTGCTTTCAAATGAATGGGGTAGCCAACTTGTTTCTGATTGTATTCCAGCAGCTCTCTGCTATGTGAGTTTGTCCATGGTCAAGACTCTCCTTGAGCTCTCTCCAACACTGAATGGAGACAGCCTCCCTGCAACCACGGGAGGGCAAACATTACTGAGAAAATGAACATGCTGGATTGTGACATATCACGGCATTTTTTGCCTTTGCGGAGCCGGGGGAGGTGTGGCCTCATGTGATATATCCGGCCCATGGGCCGCCAGTTTGACAGGCCTGCTCTAAGGGATCCTGCACTGAATAGACAGTTGCACTAGGTAAGTTCGACGGTCACTTCTGATTCTGTAATCCTGAAGTCTTTCTCGGTACATAGAATCCACTTCTTTATGCCGTCTAAAATTTTGGTTATGATACTGGAACCTCAAGAGAATCTATTTCAAAGGTTAATCTCCTCATAAAAAAAAGTAAGGCCTATACAAAATTCATTTTTACAGTAATTCAGATATAATTTGCGAAACTGATTTTTATTTTAGATTTAATTAGTCTTGCTGACAGTGTCTATTCTCTGGAGACATGGAGGGGCATTACTCAATTAAGTCCATATGTGAAGGTTCTCTAACCACCAAAACCTCCAAATTAAGATGGAGGTCCACTACTATGAACAAGATTGAGTCTCCAGTGATCTCTGAGCAACAGAAGAGAGTACTCAGCAGGATACAAGAGTGGTTCTAATTATACTGAATGCAATCATTAATTTGTCGGACATTGTTAAGCATGTTAAGTTGAGCTCCGTTTTCACCTCAGACTGTTTCTTGCGGGGCTTCCGTTCTTTAACAATTTTGGCTTTTTTGGCAGGTTTCTTCTCCTCCTCGTCACTATCCCCTTCATTACTAGAAGAACTAGCAGAGGCATTGCTATCAAACCTGTCTCAAGAAAAAGTCAAGAGGGGTGGGTCAACAGTAATTTAGCAAAATAAGTGTGCACGTATACAGGTATATTCACATGATTGAAAAATTCCCTTCTCCTGATAAAATCTCAGTTCTAATCTTCAATTCCTGACACTTCCACACCACAGGATCATTATGTCAAAAACAAATCTTACAAAAAATTATATACAATCAATCTTGAAGAAATCAAGTACTAGGAGTTTTTAAAGCATTTGCATTTCTATAAACTATTTCTTACACATATAGTAGCAAACAACACATGGCCCTTTTTTTGAAATAAAATATTTTGATAAAGCACAAGCAGGTTTTATTATATGAAAGAATTACAAGGAAAAATTACTTTTACAGACTTTTCTGCAAGTATTTTTTTTTCCAGAAACCCATCAAAAAAGCTTCCCAAATAAGTAAGCAAAACCACTCATAAATATTCCACTCTAGGCAGATTCTCTTTCCTGACATCATTTCCTCCAATAAATTATCCAGCAATTTCAAAGGAAGTAGCCAGATTTCTCATGCTCATGATTTTCCTGAAGATGTAACTTTTACTATACCATATGACTCTGTTGTAAATACAATTTATCTTTCAGATTGCCTCTATATTGTTACTTCACTGTAAGATTAATTTACAATTACATAGTCAGTTGCCTTAAAATTGCAGTTGGCTAAGGGGATTTATTAAATAAATTTATTAAATAAACTCCAACTTCAGTCTTACCTTATTCCTAAAATCCTTAGGAACTATGGTATTCTAAGTCAAACTTAACTTCCCTTTCTCTATATTTTTGTATCATTCTTAGCATGAATACTTCATATTTTTATCTAGGAAGTATTTTAATCTTGAAATTTTCCTGTTTCTGCATTCTTAGGTTATCTCAATCATTTTCCAAGACACAAGCAGGCAATTTAGACTTGCAAACACTTTGAACTATAATTTTCCAAAGGCCTCGACTTCAGGATTAATGTTCAGAGGTTATGTAGATAATATTTGGAGGGCAACAGATTTCATATTTCTAACCTGGTCATAGTAACCTCATATTCACTGCAAGGAAAAACAGCACCAGCCTTTCTAAAAGTAGTTATTTTGTAAGATTTGTAGCCTGCCTGTTATTCAAGAACGCAAAATATGATATGAATCTAACATCACTAATATTATTATTAAACAATACTAAAGTGTACCACAATTTCATTCATATACCAGACACTAAACAAGAGAATCTAATTACCCTGTTTCCCCGAAAATAAGACCCCGACAATATTGCAGCACAGCAGCAGCCATGAGGTGACCACACTCGCCGCTTCCTGCACCTCAAAAATAATAAGATCTCCCCGAAAATAAGGCCAAATAAGACCAAGAAAATAAGACCCTGTCTTTCAGGAAAACAAGGTAAACAGCTACCGTATTTTTCGGAGCTTAAGATGCACCTTTTTCCCCTCAAAAAAAGAGGCTGAAAATCTGGCTGCGTCTTATACATTGAACACAGCATTTTTGCCTCCCGAAACTCCGCCCCTTCACCAAAATAGCCGTGCATAGCCTTATGGAGGCTTTCAGCCTTTGAGCCTTTGGGGGGGGGGGGTAGGTTGTGGGGGTCGGGGGGGGGGGGGGGGGGGTGGGGGGGGGGGGGGGGGGGGTGGGGGGTCGGGATATATATCAGGTTAGATGAGATGTGTTAAT